CGCTCGCCCCCCCGGCGGGTCTCTCCCGGGCCACATGCGGGCTAGTGGGCGCGGGGGTGATTCGCATCAGGACGCCCGAGGCCCTCCCCTCGGGCGCTGGTGCGGGGCATCAGGCCCGGGGGACCTGGAAACAGACGGGCCTGCGGGCCCCCTGGCCCCGAGCTCCCAGAACCACTGGGACCCCAGAGATCACCCCCCCCCCCCCATCCCTAGAGTGCAGAGGAAACTGAGCAGCCCCTGCGCTCCAGCCATGGGCCCCGCGCCTCCAGGTGCACTTGGCCCAGCTGCCAGACAACATTTAAGGCTCAGAGCCCCTGCCTCCTCCCACCCCACCATGGTGCAGTGCTGGGAGCCCTTCCCCCACCTAGATCAGCCTGGCCCTTCACTGTCACTGGGGGAGGAGGGAGGGGAGGGACACGCTTTTGCCTTTGTCACGCTCCCGTCACTAGGCCCCCATGAGCAGATGCAGAGATCTGCATGCCTTTTCCCTTTAACTCCCAAGGGAGCAGCTGGTGACCCAGTGCTTCCTGGATTGGGTTCTCCTGACCCTTGGCAAGGCAGGATTATACACCCAGGATGGGGCAGGGAGGGGTGGGGGTATAGATTTTTGAGTCTGCTAAAAAAGAAAGGAAACAAAAAAGAAAAGGAAAGGATGGGGTGGTGGGGGATGGGGGAGCCTGGCTGGTAGTGTCAGGCAATCAAAGGGTTAACCCAGCTGCAGGGGGTCCCACCCGGCAAGGGTTGTCAGGCAATCAAGGGGTTAAACCCAGGGGTGGAGGCGGGAGCTCCGTCAAGGTCATGCCAGGGTATCCAAGGGGTACCCGGGCTGCGAGGGCTCCAGGCTGGTGAGGGTTAAGGAGCCCCCAGCCTGGAGGGGCTCTGTGGCAGGTTTTGGCAGGGTCACTGGGCTGGCAAGGGGGAGGCAGGGCTGTTAGGGGCTAGGCCTCACCCAGGAAACTGCAGGTGCAGGAGAGCAGCAGGCCTTGGTGGGTAGCCCACGTGCAGCACCCCAGCAGGTGTGGGGTGGTGGTGAGATCTATTCACAGCTGGGGGAGTGGCACTCAATCTCGTGGGGCTCAGCAACTTTAACACCTGCTAACAGGACCCCTCTCCTTCCCCCCCCCCCCCAATCCCTCCCAGGGGAAAAGGGGGAGGGGGC